AAGGTTTGCTCTCTAGAGCTCCAGGTACGTACATCCTGATCCGCTCGGCTGATGTTGTCAAACCAGTTCTGTATGTGTGAAGGCATGCTGCCCAACCCTAAAACCTACAAAAGCAGGGAAGTGCCTTCAGTTAGTTGGACTACTCGAGTGAAACTACCTCAATCTTATCTGTGTTTGGTTGTATATATATGTGTGTGTGAAGTTTAGCTGCCGATGTGGAGCAGGGAAATAGAAATAGTTCAGAATACGATCTCTCAAAGGAACCGGACGCGCCTGCTCGGACTCGTACAGAGAGAGAAGTCAAAATAAAATGAGCTCTAAGACTTCATGGATCAGTTTGTTGAAGCCGTCGCTACAAAGGAGGACAGAGCAGCTCAAATACCAGACGCAGAGATGGATACCGCTACAGACGTGCAGCCTCTTCTTTAAAGTAGGTCTCTGTCTGGTGTCTACATGCTGCTGACAACAGGATCACCTCCTGTTCATTTGAACATGTTACATGTCCACACCTTTTACGACACTTTGTCTGGTGTCAGTCTCTTTGTGATCCCTCCAGTGACAGGACACTATTGTTTCCATTGTACTTTTAATCATACTTTAGTTTACTTGCTATCTGGTATTGCAGTGTGGATAGACTCTCTGTTTCTTGGGCAGAGGTAAGTGGTTTCAGTCTACGTAAAAAATTTGATTGTATTTTGATTAACTTGCTCTCACAGAGAGACCAAAAACATGTTTTATTGCTTTTAAGTAATAGACGGTGAGGAAACGGTAGATAATCCAATATTTGTAGTTCTTCATTGCATAGCAGTGACCTGTTTCCAGTTCACTCGGGTGAAGTGTGTTTATTAATGTGTGGCAGGGACTGAGACGTTAGGTAAAACCTGTTTGAGAGCACACAGCTGAATGATGTGGCGATTGTTTGTGACCGGCAGACCTCTCTTCTTCCCTCTTTATCAACTAACATCTGATGCGAAGAGCCTTGTCACTGCGACTGAGATGTTTGTTGACTCTGTAACACTGAAGTCCTGTTGTCTAAATTAGAGGATCAGCTGATCTCTTTTACATGCTGTACAGGTGTTTTAATGGGCGTTTCTATTTGCATATTATTTGTTGTTTAGTAGAGTTACACTACTAGGGCTGCCCCGTCTTTGGTCAATTATAAATCAACTAATGATTTGGTCCAAGTCAACTCAGAATTCTTTCGTCATTTTGTGCTTTTTCATACTGTGACTTATTTCCAAGAAACGTATGAAAACATCTCCTGTCAACACAAGATTTAAAGTTTTGCTTTTGTGTGATTTTTACTGCTCTGTCTCTTAAATGAACTTATTGATTAGTCGATTAAGACTTTCTTTGGTCCAGGGCCCTAAACACTACACTGCTCTCTCTCTCTCTCTCTCTCTCTCTCTGTGTGTGTGTTCAGGAGCTAGACAAGAGGAGGCGGGTAGAAGATGCCTACAAGTCTGCTATGAATGAGATGAAGAAAAAGTCCCACTACGGAGGCCCAGACTACGAGGCAAGATGAAGTTCGATAAGATGAATGGATTTGAAACTGCTAGACACACACATCAGAAAGATGTCTTGACTTTGTCCCATGTCTCTTACCATGTGCATGATTATCTTTCTGCACGTTCTTCACAGCTATTCTCACAGAGTTCTCATATTGCTGACATTTGCTTTTCACAGGAGGGGCCCAACAGTCTGATCAATGAGGATGAGTTCTTCGACGCGGTGGAAGCTGCTCTAGACAGACAGGACAAGATGGAGGAGCAGGTCTGGTGAAGATGTAGAAAACAATTACACGTTTAGTTTGGACGAAACATTATAGATCTCCTTGTACACACATTACACATACTGTAGGAATGTGGCCTTTCTCTGTCGTATCTTCTTTATCTTCACTCTCGTACTAATGTCCTTCTGTCTGTCCCTCAGTGCCAGTCAGAGAAGGTCAGGATACCACGAATAACTCCAGTTCCTCCAGGAGACGCCTACTCCACCATCGGTACTCACCGATTTGCCGCCAAGGTGCTCAACACATTTCTCTTTAATGCACATCTTATTTCCATTCTGCTTTTGTTCTAATTCATGACTAGCGGGTGCTACTGTTTGCAATGTCTCATCTTTTCTGTCTGAAGCTTAGTCCTCTTCCAACCAGTGTGCCCTTTGACATGAAATACTACCTGAGCAGGTTGTGATTGCATCCTTAGGACTGCTACAGGGTGCCTCCTTCTGTTTCATTCCTTATTCCTTTCTCTTTCATTCTTCCTCTCTGCCGCACAGCCCCATAGCCATTCTTCCTCCCTGTCTTCCGTTGAGCTAGTCAGTGCTTCAGATGACATTCACAGATTCAGCGCTAAGGTACTGTATTTGGTCAACAGCGAGCACCTGTATCTGCACGGGTGATGCAATCTACAGTCAGAGAGAGCATGAGAGTGTCTACTAACAAGTCTCTCCAGGATTTCACAAACACTTCCTCTGAACCAAAGTCTTTAAATTATTACATGATGCACTCAGACCAAAAAAAACCCCAACTGGACATAATTGATATTCCTGGAGGGACTGACAGTCGTCACACTACTGAAGAGAAAGATGTTAGTCTAATGCTGCATGACTGGAATGTAGTGAAGGCTCTTCATCTCCTCCTTCTCCTCCTCCTCCTTTCTTCACATCACTCTGACTAGCATACGCAGGCATGAATCCACTGACTGTACACTAATGCATTGTTAGGATGTTGAACAACACCCCCAAGCAGGATCAAGTGCCGTGTGTTTATTTGGTTCCAGCTCAGTGGTTAATGCCTAAGATTCTGAAAGGGACGTAGTTGTACCGTTTGCCCCCCTACGATGTTATCAAAACCTCAAACACAATTCCTGCACTGGGGCTCGGAGCGTTGGTCGCTCAAGATTATAATTCATTAAAGTTGAGCGAAGCAGCCCTGAGACAATGCCTTCTCCTTCTCCCCAAACTGTGTCCTGTTTCAGAGCATGTCCTCAGATGCAAAGAACAGTGACAGTTCTTTGCATCAATACCGGTCTGTCTTTTAGGTGGAGGAGATGGTGCAGAATCATATGACCTACTCTCTTCAAGATGTAGGCGGAGATGCCAACTGGCAGCTTGTAATAGAAGAAGGAGAGATGAAGGTGAGTAAGCTTGTTATGAATTGTTTCCCTTGATTCCTGTCTGTGAATATTTAAGTCTCATTCACTTTTTAAAAGCACTGATGACAAATGTATCAGCTAGCGGAGGAGGAAGAGCGACACAAACACTTTAAAGTAAAGGTATTCATGCCACAGTGTAAAAAGATAATCCTTTACATCCGTAAAATGAGTTATCAGTACTATAGGGATGCTTTAGTAATCAGTCAGTGGTAGAATCAAGAGGCTCCTGCAAGATGTGTTTTCAGTGAGGTATGTTATAGTGAGAATATGTTTGTAGTGAGAATATGACTTTCCATTTGTTCTGTCTCACGCTCTGCACGTTGTGAAACAGGTTTACAGGAGAGAGGTGGAGGAGAACGGCATCGTGCTGGATCCTCTCAAAGCGACACACGCTGTGAAGGGGGTGACGGGACACGAGGTCTGCCACTACTTCTGGGACACGGCGGTCCGAATGGACTGGGAGAGTACGTTCACTATTTCAGAAGTCGCCATCGTAGCGACACTGTTTGGCTCTCTTTGTTTTAATGTCGTGACCTGACTGAACTCTTCCTCCCTCAGCCACCATTGAAAATTTCAACGTTGTGGAAACGGTCTCTGACAATGCCGTCATTGTTTACCAGACGCACAAGGTGAATGAACTTCTTGCTGGTTTTAGACGTTGCTGAAAACGCGTTTGATCAGTAATATTCTGTGGCCTATTCGATTGCCGGCTGAATGCGTCTGGTTGTGTTTCAGAGAGTGTGGCCGGCCTCTCAGAGAGATGTGCTCTATCTGTCGGCCATCAGGAAGATCTTGGCAACAAATGAAAACGATCCCGACACGTGGCTGGTCTGCAACTTCTCTGTGGACCACGACAAAGCCCTTGTAAGATTACTACACTACACCTGTCACTATCATGCAGTAGAGTGAGTGTGGTGCATCTGATATGTCAGCATATACTAACAAATATCCCAGTGCCAAATGAGACATTGTTATAGGGCCTTTTCTTCATGTGTAAATGGTAGAAAGAATAGTTTTAGACCCCTTAACCCCAGTCTCAAAATGAACTGATGTGGCAGCTTGGGAGTTCATTTACATATAATTTTACTTCCAGCCCACAAACCGGTGCGTTCGTGCCAAAATCAATGTCGCCATGATCTGCCAAACCCTGGTGAGCCCACCAGAGGGTGATAAAGAGATCAGCAGAGACAACATCCTTTGTAAGATCACCTATGTTGCCAATGGTAAGTGCCTCTCCAGCCTCATAGGGGTTTGATCTCCGTGTATATGCCCAAGGCAAGATCAGCAGCCAACAGAACAAAGCCTTTCCCTCTTCATCATTCTAACTTTAATTTACATACAAGTTCCTCAACATTAACATCCAACCTACTGTAAATGCCAGAAGGAAGTGTTGAGCTGACACCTAATCAATTTGGGTCAAGCTGTTGATTTCTGTCTACAGGTCAGCAATCTCTTATTACTGCTTAAAGTATATTTTTATGAATGACGCTGAGTTGGTGGTGTTTTTATTAACATAGTTTTTCTCAAATAATTCAGAACAAGCTCGTATCAGCCAACAGTTATGCTCATCGATCTTTTGTCCAGCTGGTAGCTGGCACAAGAGTTAGACTGCGTGCTTGTCTTTGAAACGTCAGTCCAGACTTGCACTTCTCCTGACTTCCTGTAAGTTTATTGTGACGTAAAGCAGCACTGCAGAAGGAATCCTGTGCCAGTTCACTTATAGAGACTACAGGCACATGAGTTCATTTGAAAATATACAATACCACTAGAGGGCACCCTAGACCTCTGGTTGTGTGCTGCATATGAATGCTGTTAGCACATGGGCGAAGTGTGCCTTCAGGGCAAATCTCCTTTTGGTTTAGATAACAAACGTATTTGGTTCGGTTTAATAAAAGACCTTCTCTGGCAGACAGCCCTGAAGGCAACCTTCACCCATGTGCACACTGTTACACTGTGAGGTAATGTCTGATTATGACTCATAGTTTTATCATAAGTTAGAACTTATACAGTTTCCTGATCATTTCCCTCTATGTGGCTGCAGTAAACCCAGGAGGTTGGGCTCCAGCCTCAGTCCTCAGAGCCGTGGCCAAGAGAGAGTATCCAAAGTTCCTCAAACGCTTCACCTCCTTCGTCCAGGAGAAAACAGCTGGAAAGCCCATCCTCTTCTGAACACAAAGAGGTAACCAGCAACCCAAACATTTTATAACTAAAAGAGAGACTAAACTGATGGGTAGAACATGTATTACACTGTTAATGGATCTCTTGAGTGGCGCTTACTCTTTAAAGAAAAACACAGCCGATGTACAGAATCTATTTCAGTTTTATTCATTTCTGGGATATCGATTTTTTTGTCTCCCTTTTTGTTTCAGCCTTGCGAAGGTTCCACTGGAGAGACTACGTTGTTCACCGTTGAATCGGCTCTCAATGACTACATGACTCATTCACCTGTCGATTAGAATGTGTTTTCCAGCTACTACGTTCAGGACACTATATTATTCAGGACGTCCCACAGGACACCTGCTTGTAGAGGAGACTGGTTTTACAGCTTTAATCCATCAGTAGTTGTCATCCCAGCTACATTAACATGGCTTAACACCATCTGTTGGTCATGGATACATTTGTATGTAAATGTAAGAGTTTCCTAAGTGGTTTTTGAATTGTTGTTACCAATTATTTGCTTTTTTTTTGTAAATTGTTTTGTACATTTCTTATGATTACATACTTTTTGGGGTTCGATTTAATCACTAGTATTACAGCTACTTGTTTTGCTGCTGCTAAAGTTACTACCATGAGGGAGGGAAGTAGATGTTGACAGGAAGAGCATTGATCAGGTGTGGACCTCTTTGCCTTCTCCTGTCAATCTAGTGATCACTCTCTTTGCAGTTTGATGGGGGGGGCCAGAGCCTAAAGCTTTGTAATCTTTATGTTTCTAGATTGTTATAAAGTAGCTTTCGGGGAGCACCAGGGACACAATGTATTGTACAGAGAAAACCGAAAACGTTTTCAGTTAGTTTACCGATGTGAGAAATGTGAATTGACTGTTAAAAGCTTGAATTTGGTGACAGTAATGGGCTAAGGCAACCTGGAGTAGGACCTAAAGAGCATTCGCTAAGTCTAAGGTCACATTGGACAATGTTTTAGACACGGTTGATGGTGATAATCAAAAATTGCATGTCAATAATGGAGTTGACTGCCGTCTATAGATGCTAAGTTGCGGCCTATTGTAAGTGGGTATCTGTATGTAATCTCTGCGTAACGGCGGTTTCTGACAGATAGTTGCAGATGGCCAGCCATAGTGTCTGATGTACGGACTCCTCTCTTTCATTGAGAGGCGAGTACATTTTGTACACCCTGGGTAGTTTTTCACCACTTGGAGGCCCCTGATAGGGCAGAAAGAATTCAGTCTGTGCATTCATGAGTGTCAGGTTTGTAAATTAGTCCCGTTGCTATCGTAAGGATAAGGTAGAATTGTAAAATGCTGAGTAGGATATCATCTATACCTTAGACTCTTAGTTATATTCTAACATTACATTTCACATGCCACACTACAGTGCAGTGGCCTCCTGCCCTTTGACTGATAAACTATCCCCAGAACGCCTTAGACACCAGGACCAATCCTAAAGTTCCTGGATATCTTTACTGTACAGCCACCAGATGTGCATTTATCAACACTGAAATGAAGTGGGGACGGGGGAAGGTTTAGCATTTCATATCATCTTACCTCAAGATGTACATTTACATCAATGTTTGATGCCATCATAGGTTGGGAGTTTTGCAATCAGTTGATCTTTATGGTTGAAAATTTCACCATCACATTTTCGGTCCAAGGGGTCAGAGGTTACAAAGGATCTGGATAATTGTTTTTCTGATGATTACAAAAGCTAGATCTATGAGCAATGTCAGCTTAAGAATGCCTCCAGTGTTTTTAATTTTGATATTTTGTCTGTAATCTACACACTTTGTATATTTCTAAGTTGTACATCAGAAGTGTTATTATTTGCACTAAATGACAATGTTCTGTAAATTAAAATTGTTATACAAGTACTGTTTTAGTGGCACTGTTGTGAAGGTATGCATGCATGTATCCAGCCATCATCTTTAACCGCTTAATGGACAGGTTGACACATTAACACATAATGCTCACATTAACATCTAGCGGCAATTTAGAATAATCAATGAACGCTGCATGTCTTTGGACCGTGGCAGGAAGCCGGAGAACTTGGAGAGAACCTATGCTGACAGGGAAAGAACATACATAGTGGGCAAAATGTATCTATCTAGAGATTTGTGTGTGTGTATACACACACATATTGTGTGTGTGTGTGTGTGTGTGTGTGTATACACATATATACTGTGTGTATATGTATGTGTATATGTATATACAGTATGTGTGTATGTGTATATGTATATACAGTATGTGTATATGTATATGTGTGTGTATATGTATGTATGTGTGTGTATATATGTATGTATATACACACATATATACACATATACAAACAAAAACATCCACTGGAAAATAACAAAAGCAGTTATGAACTCAATATTGACAACAGTAAAACAAATCTTTGCAAACTTATTTACATTGATCACTTACTAAAATATATATATGTATGTGTGTGTATATATATGTGTGTATGTATGTGT